CTCGGGGGGACACCACGTGCTGGGATGTACCGGCCTCCCACGTGGCCCCATCCTCAGGCTGGCAGGAGCAACCCTGCCTTCAGCCAACCTAACTGCCCTCCCGCCGGAGCGATGAGCAAGAGGTCCTTGCTTTTGCTTTGTCTCCTATAGACTGCCTATAGTCACGCCCCAGGTATGGCCAGCAAAGATGCCACGTATGGGTGGGAGACACGTGCAGGGTCACACAATTAACAACACAAAAAAACCTCAAAGCCAAGCAAGCGGGCTCAATGCCAGCCACTTCAAAACTCCCGCAAGGCAGTGGTAAACGTGCGCGGGGAAGTTCACCAGGATTTTAATTTAATATGAAAATTAAACAAAGAGGAACTAATTTCTTAGAGCTTAGAGGGGGAGCTCCACCAACGCTCCAGATGAGTGCCAAGGGCGGTGGACCCCACCCTAGGTAACGCACTAGCCCCTCTCCTCTGAGCCTCTGCGAACGAGAGCGGCCCCCCTCGCCCCCCTCTCCGCGCGTCCATGCTTCTGCCACGGCGCCCTCCTGCCTCGTCTTACCCAGCCTCCTTAGAACTCAGCATTTTGGCCCAGATGAGGTCAGTGTCAATGGGCTCCTCGCGAGGGTTAGTGGAGCTGACCTGCAGCATCAGGCTCTCGCAGGGGGCACCAGTTAGTGTAGCCAGGCCTTCGATAGCACGCCCCGCCTGGAGGGCAAAGTACGAACCGTGAAGCTTGGCCAGCGCCTTCTCAATGAGGGCGACCCACAGCTGCTTCCTCTGGGCCTGTGGAAAGAGGGAGAAACACGTCACGAGCTGCCCTGGATGGGAAAGCAAAGGCAGCGCGCGCAGACAAGGCAACAGGGGGCACCAGTTAGTGTAGCCAGGCCTTCGATAGCACGCCCCGCCTGGAGGGCAAAGTACGAACCGTGAAGCTTGGCCAGCGCCTTCTCAATGAGGGCGACCCACAGCTGCTTCCTCTGGGCCTGTGGAAAGAGGGAGAAACACGTCACGAGCTGCCCTGGATGGGAAAGCAAAGGCAGCGCGCGCAGACAAGGCAAAGCCCCGCTTCAGACAAGGCAAAGCCCCGCTCACCCGCCCCTGCCAGCCCTCCCGCTGCCATGGGAGGCCGAGAGGCAGGAGCAGGAAGGCCAAGCCACCGGGAGCTTGTCCGCATGAGGCCAAGGGTGACCCTGTTCCCTGCCTGCTCAGCGTTTCGGTTGCAGTTTAATTCCAGGGAAAACGTCCTGGAGTGAATGCCCAAGAGGCCCAGCTGCCGACAGAGCTGCACCCCGGGGTGCCCGGGCAGTCAGGCTGGTGGGGGGGGTGTCCACCTTGTGAGCCAACGGTCCCCTCCTTCTGCTTCAACCTGGATTTAAAAATGCTTAATAACGGAATAGGATATCGAGCACATCTGGAACAGGTGCCTTTCACTCGCACACCGTTGTGAACCAAAACCAACACACCTTTGGCGGAGGAGGCCACCAGCCCACACAGCCATGGGACCGATTAGATTTCACTTGTGGAACAGAGATGTTCTTTCAAGAACAAGCTCCAAAAACTCCCAGGCAAAGTCCTCTGCTCCAGCACATGGACAGTGGCAAGGAGGGTAACTCTCCCCAGAGCTGCTTTGCTCTGGTGCCAGGCTATTGCTCTTGGCATCGCTAGGCTAATTGCAGATTCGGAGAGAAATGCAGAAGCTGCGTTAATGCACCCAGAGGTTTGCAAAGCCTCCATCGGCCACGGCAACGCGGGCTCAGGGCGCAGCCTTCACCGCTATGTCCAAGCCACCGTTGCAGGTCCTCGGTGTGGCAGCGTACAGTCACCAGCCGTGCTTCACTCCTGGGCACATCCAGGCTGGGGTGAGACGCCTCTGCTCCAGCCCCTGCCTGCAGCGAGGACGCAAAGAGGGAGGCGTACGAGGACAGAAGGCCAGGAGACATTTGCTGGCCTCTGGGTGCCCAGCAAATCGGGTTCGGTACCCGGTGCTTGGAGGGCAGCAGGGGAAAAGCATTGGCGCACTGTGACTGCGTGCGACTCACAGGTGGCAGCCAAGAGCTGGGAGAGGAAAGGAGGGCAGTGAAGATTTCTTTCCGATGGATAAAGAAAGCTTACAAGTGCTTTTCACAAGGGTTTTTGAGTCCCTCACTCAACAAAATCCATGTTCTTTATTTCTGACTGAGCTGCAGCCAGGGAGCTCTGATAAGAACCTGGTTTTCCTTTTTAGAACTCTCCATTTTCCTTTTTTAGCCCCCACATTCAGCTCACGCAGCTAAGCGCTCAGCAGAAAAATCTCGTCACGATTCAGACGCCTCTGGAAACAAAGGCAAGGCAAGCCCAGCCCATGTGAAAACCTTCAATCTTCAAAAAAAAAATATGCAGACTTGAAATTTTAAGAGAGGAAAGGCAGATGGGAAAACCAAACCAGACAAGACAGGCAAATCTTACGCAGAAAAGAATGTATCTGACTGGATCCTCTCTGTCTACTGTGAGGCAAAATGTAGACACAGACAACTCCTTCTTCCCCTCTCCAAAGTTTCTCCTTAACAGGACCGGCACCCAGCAGCGCTGGCAATCATTTTGTCCCACTCAGCATCCCCGTGTCCCTGGGGGATCACCCACTTGGCCTGGCAGTGCCGTACCTGTGCCTGCACGGCGCGAAGCCCCTGCCCGGACCCCTGCCCCTCTGCCCAGAGCCAGGGTTAAGGGGGGCTCAGGAGCCGGAGCTGCCAACCGCGCCAAGACTGCTGCCCCACAAGGCCCGTTAGCTCCGATGCAATTAGCAGGTACCCCAGGACTCGACGTTGTGGAGGGCACAGGCTACTGAGTCCACTCAGGCTGGGGACTCTGCGAGGTGTACCGACAGTAAAGTTCCCCAAAACCTCATGTTTGGGCCCCATTTCCCCAGCCAGAGTCCTGTTCTGACATCTACGCACGATGCGGTTTGGGGCTGTGTCTACTTTAGAACAGAGGATTGGGATTTGCAGAACGAAACCCAACCCAGTGGTCCCAGGTCCCTGTCTCCTCCTGACAGCAGCACTTTGTTTTGTTCGGCAGATTTTGCCGCCTGAGTTTCAATGAAGACGTTCTCAGTCTCCTTCATGGACGTGATCCCAGCAAGCGCCCCTGGGCCTGGCAGGCAGGGCAGGGCAGAACGCACAGTGACGTTCCGAAGCGGCTGAGGGACCTTAGTTAATCCAAGCAGATGCCACCCGAGTGTGCTCAGAGCAACCAGGCACTGGCTCGAAACAGGCTGATTTGCTGGGCGATCCCCTCCCTCTCCACAGTCCCTCCCTGGCAAAGCCAAGCTGCCAGACCTCCCCGCAGAGGAAGGAACCTGCTTTCCCTCAGCCCCTCGCAGTGCAGAACACGCAGGTTAAAATATTTTCCTTTTGCTGTGCAGAATAAGGATGCCTTCCCCTGCAAGGGAAGTGGCTGTGGTGCAGGGAAGAGCGAGGGAAAAGCAACTGCAAATGAAACTTCTCCATCGCAGCCTGGAAAATGCCAAAAGGGGCCTAAATAGATTTATATTATGGCCTCAACGAATTCAGCTGTCTTGAGGGCGCAGCAAAAAGCAGGGTCCTGAGCAGCAAACACCCCACGCAGCCCAGAGTAGGGACCTTACACAAACCACAGCAGTACCTCTTCCCACTGCCTCCGTCAGTCCCCTC